GTACCACAGGCCCCTCCCCTGCCCCCTTGCTGCGCTTGTGCCGTGGGGGGCGCCACACGCAGATGAGCCCCTCTGCTTCGTCCTTGTGCCCTCTTGCGCCCTCCTTTTCCCCTGCTGTGTGCTTGGCTTGCGCAGGCGGAAGCTGTGAGGAGCAGGCAGAGGCGCGGATGAAGAGTGGGTGAGTGGGCAGCATGCTGCGGTAGTTGGTGCCCATGCATGCCACGCGACGGGAATACCGCTGGCCCCACAACGTCATCAATCCGCCCTCTGCCCTATTCTCCTCCCCACCCTCTCCCCTCTTCTCTCCTCCTCCCTCTGCCCTCTTCTCCCCCTCTCCCTCTGCCCTCTTCTCTCCCCCTCCCTCTGCCCTCTCCTCCCCCTCACCCTCTACCCTCTTCTCCTCCCCACCCTCTACCCTCTCCTCCTCCCCACCCTCTCCCCTCTTCTCCTCCCCACCCTTTCCCCTCTCCTCCCCCCCACCCTCTACCATCTCCTTTCCCCCATCCTCTACCCTCTGTCCCCCCCCACCCTCCACACCTCGCACACCGCCCACACCCTCGCGCCTCTCCCCACGTGCCTCCTCCCCTGCGCCCATGCCACACCCCGTGGAAGCGCGTCTGCGCGGGCCCATGCGGGTGCTCATGACGTCGAGGTGCGTTGCCCACACCATGCTGCCGCGCCCCACGGGTCCCTTCACAAGCACCTCCGAGTCCACCACCGCTTCCTCCACCACGTCTCGCCGGAACTCCCTCACCGTCTCCCGCGCTGCGCGCTCTGCAGCACCCAGCACCGAGTCAAAGTGCCGGTCCCCTATTTCCACCTCCACTAGCCTCTCCTCTCCCCCCCTCACTCCCGCCTTCCTTCCTTTATATAACTTCGCTCCTTCGTCGCTCTCCTGCGCCCTCTCCTCCTCACTGCCCTCCTCACTCTCATCTTCCTCGCTGCTTGAGCTGCCACTCTCGCTCTCCTCACTGCCCTCGCACTCGCCGTCCTCCCACCCAGTCACCCATGTCTTTCTCGCCCAATTTATGTCCCAAGTATTTGCTTGAGCCTTGTAAACAGCCGGCCTGTTCCAACCACTTCCCTTCTGCCCCTTCCTTGCATCCCGCACACCACTAGCGCCGTAACCACCACCACCACCACCACCACCACTACTTCCACCACCATTGCCACCACCACCCTGCAAAGTTCTCTCACCTTCCCTGCCCTGCTGCGAAGGCCGTTTATCAACCCCAGCACAAACCACGTTCATTTCGCCACAGCCATCACCACCAGCATCCCGCACACCCCCACCTTGCCCATCCTCGTCCGCCTCTACTTTCACCACCACCCCCTGCGTTGCACTCATATCCCCTCCCCGCCCCACAACTCCCGCGCCCTTGCTACCTCCCTTCCCCACTCCGCCCTGCCTCCCATCCTCATCCCCACACTCCTCACTCTCGCTCTCACTCTCCTCCCCTGCCCCTTCCGTCCCACCCGGAGCCCGCTCAGTGAGCGGCAGCAGCAGCAGCCCATAGCGCCGCATGAACGCCGACACCCATTTCTGCGTCACAGGGGCCTTCACCCCCGCCAGGTACTTGGGCGCGAGGGCATGCGCGCGCGCGAGAATGCGCTCCACCGTCGCCTGCCGCTTCTTCTCCTGCTCCTCCCGCAGCACCCACATCGCCACCTCGTCCTCCAGTCGTACCAGCTCCATGCTGCCCGCGGGGGTGCCGCCCGCCTTGATCCACTTGCGCTGCTCGCGCGCGATCTTTTGCACCTTGCGCGGGGACACGTCCACGCCGTGCTTGGCGAGCACCACGGCGGAGATCACACTGGCGCTCACGTGCGGCCGCAGGCACCGCAGCACCGCGATCTCGTACTTCACGCGCACGTCCATAGGCGCCCGCGCGCCCTGCGCCGGCAGCGAGAAGCTCGTGGGTCTGTTCTTGGAGCCCAGGAATGGGTGCCTCCACTTCCCCTCCGCACCACTCCCTTCAATGCCTGCTCCTTCGCCAACTTGTGCGTTACCACCCCGGCCATCCCCGCCACCCCTAATATCCCCGCTCCCGCCACCACCACCATCAATCTGAAGTCTTTCGCTCGCCCCCTCTGCTTCCTCGTTACCGTCACCAAACTTTTTTTGTAAACCCCCCACGTTTCCACCTCCACCCCTTCCTCCTCCTTCCCTTTCGCCTCCCCGTTCCACTCCTATTCCCCCGTCGTCTCCTCCCCTTCCCTCTCCTCCTCTCATTCCCCCTGCTTCGCAACCTCTATCCTCCTCGCGCTGCTCCGCGTCCACTAGTCGATCGTCCACAGGAGCGGAACATTTGTAACTCGGGTCAATAGCTGTGTCATATTTTTAAAGGACTTCAGGTTGTGTGGAAAATATGGAGCACATTCAGGTTGACAATTCGATGTGCACTTGAGGCATCGACAAGGCTTCAGTTCAGACTACGGACGGAGTGGCGTGTTTGAAGGTTGTTTGTGGGTAGAGAAAATTTGTTGTTCGTGCCAGCGTACAGCCATGGGAGTGAGGAAGAAGAGTTCACTCTAGCCAGACACCATCGCATTCAGTAGCAACATAGGGCTGGAAGGGGAAGGAAACCCTAGCTTGGTACGTTTCGCATCTAGTTTCCTTATCGCACACGTGGCTTCATGATTCTGGATCTCGTGTCTGGTCATGCCACGTCACGGGAGGGTAAGTTGCATCTCGCTTGGATTGGACAAGCTAGGAGTGATAGAACATCTGATGAAGTGGCGGGATGAGTGTTTTCACGAACAACATCACAGTAGGCGGAATGAATGACAAGGAACGTTGAGGCAGAGCGGCTATGCGTGTGAGCACATGGTTGTTGCATGCAATTACCCTTGTCCAGACAATCTTGTCGACACCTGCATTCGTAGTGTATAGATCTCCTTACATATTCACACACAGACAAGTAAGATAATCCAGATTCACATAGGTACCATAATCATCCCCCTATAGATGCCCCTAGGGGCTTATCGGATTCTGGCATTCTTCTGTAAGGGCTGGCATAATAAGCTTTACTGCCCTTGAGACTATCCTAGACACTCACCTTACCAGATTCTGAACAAAAACAAGGGAAAAAAACACATGTTTTTTCACCGTATTCTGCAAGATAGACGGCCTTTTGCAAGACAAGTTACGTGGCTCATCGACAGAAAAGGGGCAATAAGGCATTAACTTGTGTAAATAACACTGATAGGCCAATTATCATGGTGCTTTTTACTAGTCGCACTTTTCTTACTCTTATAACAAGCCCCCCCATTCCCCCCCCCCACCCCCTCCTCCCCTTTCCCTCAACCCCCTCCCCTTGACTACCCGAAGCATGACCTCAAAAAATTTCGTCGATGATGCATCTGTGTTGGTAGCATTCTTGTGGGCTATTGGTTGAGTTTTCAGTTTACAACTTGACACAGCGTGCTAACAGTTGGTCTTCTTGTCCTCGCCTGCCAGCAAAGAATGTAAGGTCGTAAGCTCGGGTTTGTGCAGATAGTCGACGCCCACTAGACCACAGGTGCACCACGTCTCTATCGTGATTGGTCACAATGTATCCTTATTGTGCACATTAGGCACCAAAGGCTCAGGTGAGACAGCTCATGCACAATCGTGTTTAGCGTGTCACCTATCCAACTCTTCTATGTTCATTCTTGCCACCCCCCGTCCAAACCATTCGACACTCACTCAGCTATGTCACCTTCAGCAGACGTTGGGGGAGGTGACGCTAGCAAAGCCCCCCCCCCCCCCCCCCCCCTCCCCCCCCTCCCTCCTCCCCCCCTCGCACAGGCTTAGATTTCTTGCATGGGCTATATCCGTACCCTCCACCGCTTCCAGATCCAGAGGCGTAGGCTTTTAGTGGGAAATGGCTTCGTCCTATTCGCAACGATCCTAGGTGTTCAATGCCAGATAGCGCTCTTACTACTGTGAGTGTTCTAGACGTCCCGAAATCATCCGTTTCTGTCACCCCGAAGAAGCAGCGTCTCACACAGTCTGTGCTCCCCTTCGGCATGCCGCCAACAAAACCTCCGCCGCCACCACTGCCCGTCAAAACTCCCGCTCTTGCACCCTATGAACGGACGACCGCTGAGAAGGCCAAAGAGAAGTTTCTTGAGGCCCAGCACCTTTACTAGCGAGAGAATGATGGCATACCTTGTCAGAAATAGAACGAAGGAATGATTGACTAAGGAGCAAGCATGAGTAAAAGTACTAGGATGCAACCCTAAAGTGTTGTACTCCTCAGAGTATGCCCCACTACAGCCTAGAGATAACAAATGCAATTGACACCACCCTCTAGACAATGTGGGGGATAGCAAACACAACGAACGGTCACAAGACCAGTCATGCAAGAGAATAAAGCAAGCAAAGCTCAGGGTGGATCTCAAGGTCATCACGCAGTCTGAGCATAAGCAAGCGGCCACAAGGCCAATTCACATGCAGAGTGATAAGAGCACAAGCATTACAGTGATCACATCCTAGCAAGAGCAAGCATGCAGGTGTGTATATACATATGTATATATACGTTACAGTACAAGACAAAGTCAAGCAACCAGCAGGTGAGGCAGAGTAGGCACAAGGCCTAGAGCAATGCAGAAACGCTGATGATCACCAGGCATAAGTGCCTTAGTGAAGACATCAACAGTGTTGGCCCGAGAGGCCACGTAAGCAAGGCGCAGCTGACCACGCTGCTGCAGCTCCCGAGCAAGAAAGTAATGAAGAGCCTTCGTTCTGTGCTCCAGTCTCCGCTCCTAACACGAGGCAATCATGGCCTTGTTGTCAGCGTATGGAAATGGAGGAGAACGAGGCCGGTCACCCAAGTCGGTAAGCAGGTAGGTCAGCCAGCGTAACTCCTGTGCAGCCATGGCCTTAGCGTAGATCTCAGCCTCACAGCTGGACCTAAGCACAGAAGGCGAACGAGTGGACCTCCACGAGACAGAACCGAAGCCGATACTGAAAGAGTAAACATGCGACGACTGCCGAGTCGCCTCGTCGGCCCAAGAAGCGTCGGAGTATCCTGTGAGTACCACTGGACCCCGTCCTCCAAGCACGAGCCTCATGCCCGATATTCTACACAAGTAGCGCAGTAACCTCTACGCAGCTGTCCAGTGCTCCTTCCTGTGTCGCTCGGGCGCGACGAAGCGAGAAAGGATGCTGAGAGGGTATGCGAGGTCAGGTCATGTGCACGTTATCACGTACATGAGGTCGCCCACAAGCTCTGGATACGGGCCACTCGGCTCTACGGACTCGTCCAAAGGTGGAGCTGAGAGCGAGTGGCCTGTAGGCAGAGGAGTGCGCTGTGGGGAGAAGAACTGAAAGCCGAAGCGCTGAAGAACCTGGTGCACTATGCGTGACTCAATCAAAGCGATGGTGCGCCGTGCTCTGTCCCTAGTGATCTGCAAGCAAAGATAGCTATGCTGCTCACCTAGGTCAGTGCATATGTGTCTCTTCTGCAGCTCCGCCTTCATAAGGGTCAGCGCCGCAGTGTCGGCAGTAGCAAAGACCAAGTCGTCGACATACACGAGGATGCAAAACGGCGGCGGCAGAGTGGGTCGGTGCGCAGAAACAGCGATGGGTTAGCAGTCGAAGGAGCAAACCCAAGAGCCGCAAGCGTCGTCCTCGGTGTGTCGTGCTACTCGCGGGGTGCCTGGCGGAGACCGTAGACTTGCCGCCGGAGACTCAGTGAAGCCAGGTGGGCGGTGCAGCCAGATCTTCTCGTGAAGGCTGCCCTGCAAGAAAGTTGTGGAGAAGCGAGGGAGTGCGGCTCGTAGTCATGCTGTGCTGCAACGTGCAGTAACATCCAAAGAATGGTCATCTTCGGGGTGGGGAAGGTCTGGAAGAAGTCGACCCCCTGTCGCTGACTGAAACCTCGAGCAACGTAACGCGCCTTGAAGGCAAGAGGAGAACCCGGCGGCCACTTCACTCTATAAATTCACATGTCATTGACTATGTTCGCCCCAGGAGGGGGAACCTCGTCGACGTAGGTGACTGTGGACTTCCAAGAAGCCATCTCTGCGTCCATGGCCGTCTGCCACTAAAAAGAGTACTCTCACGTGATTGCCTCTACATAAGAGCGCGGGGTGGGGATGTCTAGTTCATCCAGGTCTCCCTCGGGGCAAAGCAGCATGGACGCGAAATGGGGTAAAACGACCGCGAGATACTAAAGCTCAAACTACCTGTCCTCAAGGACGTCACTGCTAAGGGCAAGCTCACCTCCGACGGATGGAGGACGGACGGATTCAGACTCGGTAACAAGACTCGCAACGTAGTCGAGACGACAAATGGTGAGAGTGCATGCCACGCAGGCGCGGCAGGGAGGGGTGACCAAGATGGTGGTGCCAGAGGAGAGTCTGGTGCGTGAGTAGTCGACACGAATAAGACGCAGCTAACTGACCCGACGCAGCTACCTGACCCAACGCAGCTACCTGTGCAGACTCAGTGTTCAATGTGTACAGGCCAGACCCAGGCCTCCGAGTGAACGTGGCGAGGTGCTCGCCAGTGCGTGAATCCATACAGATCACCACAAGCTCACCCCCAGGAGTAGTCAAAGTGACAAACTGGTCTTGGAGGTCAGCGTTGCTCACCAAGTTCTTAGAGAACAAGGGGAGGTGGAAACCTGTGAGGGAGCCTGAGAGGGCTGCCGGACACAGGAGAATTGTGGAGGCATGTGCTACAACTCGGCCCCCAGAGGGGTCAGCTAGATAGACCGGGACAGGTGTAGTGAGCAGTCTGACTGTGGCGCAGTCGCGGAACAAGCAGCAAGTTGCGTCTGAGACAAGCGTGAAGGTGTGCAAAGCCTCTACAGAAATTGCATTTGTTCTACCAGGCTCACATGCACCTAGACTAGTAGCCTCTGCACTAAGAGGGACGTGTTGCTGAGAAACCCGCTCGCGAAGCTGGTGCGGTTAGAGGGTCTCCTGCTGACGCTGCTGCCGCTGCTGTCCAGTACCTCCAGCACCATAACAACCACCACCAGGACGGCCTCGTTGAATAACCCACTCACGAAGGTGCTGTGGCGAGAGATTCTCCTGGCGACAAGACTGCCGCTGCTGTCTAGTACCGTCAGCACGCGTGAAATCCCAAGCTCCAGGTCTAGAGAGGCCTCGCCGAACAACCCACTTGCGAAGCTGCTGCGGCGATAGAGTCTTCAGCTGACACGGCTGCTGATGTCCACCGCAAGACGCTGCTACGACTGTGATAATGGCCATGACAGGCAGTGGCAGTCAGTAGCAGTGACACAAGGGCGTCAGAAGCGACTGCTATAGTTGCAGCTGTAGCAGTAGCGGTAGGCGCTGTAGTGGCAGGGCAGCGCATGGGCTGCAGGGCAGGGCAGCGTGCAGGCTGCAGGGCAGGGGGTTGCGCGGGCTGCAGGGCAGGGCAGCGTGCGGGCAGCAGGGCAGGGCAGCGCGTGGGCCGCAGGCCAGGGCTTCGCGAGTACGGCAGGGCAGCGGGGCGTGGGCAGCAGGGCAGGGCGCGCATAGGCACCGCGCGTGCGGGCAGGGCGCACGTAGGCGGCGTACGTGCGGGCAGGGCGCGCGTAGGCAGCGCGCGTGTTGCAGGGCAGGGCGGCGCACGGGCTGCAGGGCAGGGCGGTGCGCGGGCTACAGGGCAGCGGGGCGCTAGCAGCAGGGCAGTACGGGCAGCAGCACAGCACGCGCGGCAGCAGGGCAGCGTGCGGAGGGGCAGCGCGGGGCAGGGCAGCGCGATACCGCTGGGCAGGGCAGGGCAGCAGTGTGACGGCGTACTGGGCAGGGCAGCACGCGCGGCGAGCAGGGCAGCGCGCGACGGCAGCAGCTCCTGGGGCAGTACGTACGGTTGGTGGGCCCTAACGGAGCGGTCCTACGGAGGAACCTGCTCTGAATACCATGTCAGAAATAGAACGTATGAATGATTGACTAAGGAGCCAGCATGAGTACCAGTACTAAGGGCGTGTCATGCTTCTCGAAAGCGCATGGATTTTTAGGTACTGCTACCCGATAACCCTATGTTACAATTGCAGTACCTGACCTATGTTGACAGCCCTCCGACCCCTTTCTGGCATACGTTTTTTTCACGTGTCCAAGTTCGTGAGCCGCACGTGCCATGCACACTAGAACAGTTCACGTACAGGTACATTTCGGGGTGTGCAGTAGGTGTTACCCGATTTTTGACATTCACGAAAACAACCCATGCGAAAATAACGAACCCCACGAACCCCGCAGATTTTCGTGTGGCGCAGGCGTGAGCGCCTGCCGAATTTTACACGGATTTCGTAGGGCGGCAGTGTTACCGCTCGCGACCCCAACCTCAATCTTGTGCTGGATTCGGTTTCCACCAGGCGGGACTGTTTTTCCGCGTGCAGAAAGTTGTTTCGCGTCAGGCGGACACGATGCATTTTTTGTACGTGCGGGCTGCACTTTTGTGAACAATCAGAATTACGTAAAAAATGTGTACATTGCCAAACTACACCCTGCATGACACGCCCTAGATGCAACCCTAAAGTGTTGTACTCCTTAGAGTATGCCCCACTACAGCCTAGAGATAACATATGCAATTGACATACTGTAGATTAGTGGGGAGAAGGTACAAGTACAAATGCCGAGAGAAACCAATACCCTACATCATGCACCTCACTACAGTTTAACAAATTTAACACTATTTTGTGCATATATACGGTAGAGTTTGACAACTTGGCCTGTGGGGTTGTCAAACTACTCTGAATGTTGTTAGGTTTTGTAGGCTACACTAAGGTGCACAATATAGGTACATCACATCCTAGGGTTTCCTATGTATACACAACCTCCCTTAGTTAAAAAATATATCTTCTCGACACTCCTTTTTGACCCTGCAGACCACTAATTGGGCGCTTAAGATATACGGTATACTCTGTACAAGGGGTGCACCATGCAGTGAAGATGGCCAGCTCTGATGCTCATTCCACATAATCTATGTCGTCTGTGAGTCCAACCTGCACACCACACCAGTACAACCAGTGCAAATATTTAGCAACTTAAAAAATAAGCCTTTGATTCCATCTCCCACTCGACTCTCCTCCCTTTTCTCCTCGTCAGTTCCCCTGAAGCTAAAATTCTGGCTTATAGGCCACTCCCTCACCTCTTCATACAGCTGGGCGAGCTTCTCAGGCGCTTGTGGGAATTGGTCGTTGCACCACTGCTGCAAGGCGAAGATGTTCTCTGGCAAGGGCGAGAGGGCCGTGACACACATGGATGGGTGCATGGCTCTGAGTGCCATAGTGGGAATGTGGGCTGGAAACCACAAGCAGCACGAGCGAGACGCCGTGTGTACATGAGGGACAGAGCGAGGTGGTGGTGAGTGAGAGAGGTGCACGGGGGCGTCAGGTCACCTGTCCATCGGTTGGTAGCATCCTTGGCTATCCGAGTGACTTTGACTGTACAAACGAACGCATGAGATGCATGTGAGACACGAACGGGGGCAGAACGCAAGGTGGTTTGGTGAGAAGTGGATGGCAGAAAAGTTGGGGGGAGAGACAAGTTAAGAAGACCAGAGAACGACTGGTGCAAGGAGAGGGGAACATTTGTGGAAAGAGAGAGAGAGGGGAAATGGAGGAGCGAGGACGCACTCTTGTGCTCCAGCAGCTCTGGGTCATTCTCTGCAAACTCCGCCAACTCCTCCTGCACACACACGGGGAGTGAAGAGGCGCAGCCAAGAACCCACACAGACAAGCACAATGTATACCGGAGGCGAGACGAGCATGAGAGCACGCACCGTGCAGAGCAAATTCAGGCCTGAGGCAGAGAGAGGGAAGAAGGCGAGCAAGGAAGAAGGAAGGCAGGCAGCTGCCACTACCACCATAAGTATGCCATGCACCACCACGTGACGTGATTCCCTCCCCTCTTTTTTCACTCACGTAATCATGCACCTCACATCAGCCCTGCCTTTGTCGCACTCCCCTGTGTGTCCCATGCTCGCACCTTGAGCTTGCGGTTCTTCGCCTGCAGCACAGCCAGGTCTGCCAGCGCCTTGCTCCGCTCCTCCTGCCATGCACGTAACACACACACACGCATACCGATGACGCACGTGAATTCAGCGAGCCAGGAGCGTGACATGCAGAAGCGACGGAGCAGGGAGTAGTGCAAGGAGAGCCACGTGGGTCAAGCCGTGTATGCGATAGCAGTACGGTGTGTTGAAAGGCAGGCAGCAAGGCAGCAGCGTGTGGCAGGGGTGGCATGGCATGGCAGCACTGACCGATTGCTGGCGGCCAGCCTGAGCGGTTTGAAGCCTGGCCTCCAGGCGTGCCTTCTTCGCCTGCAGCTCGCCCACCTCCACTGTCAGTTGCGCCTCCGCTTGCCGCAGCTGCATGGGGTGGCCCATGGGGACGTGCGGTGTTTAGGGGTTGAATGGGATTTGACAAGGTAGGGATGGGGTGGGGTGGGGTGGAATGAAATGAGATGAAGAGGCACGAGGCGTGGGGAAGGAGGGGCTGGTGGGAGAGGGAGGGTGGGTAGAGAAGCGGGACATGCACTGATGTGCAGGGCGGCAGGGATGGAGGCGCTGGCTCCACAGCAGCAAGCAAGCAGGCATGGCATATGGTGCGAAGAGAATGGCAGCATGGCATGGCATGCATGGATGACTGCATGGTGCGATGAACAAGAAACGGGGAGGGCTCACCTTGTTGCCTGCACTGCTGGGCAGACTCCAGAAGTAGACCTGCATGGAGGGGAGAGACAGAGTCGCAGATGGACAGTAAGGGAACGCATGCAATGCAAGGCAGTGACACGAGATTGGAAAGCAGCAAGACGAGTGGGCTGTCAATCACTACCAACCGCCGTCAGTGCAGGCAGCACGCACAGCCCAATCCGTGCTATGGGAGACAAGCCCTCTGCACAAAGACCTAACTCTCACCCTCCGCCTTGCAGAAAGGTACCAGCGGAGACCTGTGCTGTGCTAGCCAGCAGATGGGGTGCAGAGGAATGCACAGGGGTGCAGAGACACAGCAGAGTGGTGGAGGGCGAGAAGAGGGGCTTGGAGTTGGAAAGGGAAGTGGCAAAGAAGCGATTGGGGGGGGGGGGGGGGGGGGGGGAGGACGACTGACGGAGGTGCCGATCTTGTCGCGCAGCACGAGGTCGTCGTCCACGAGCGTCTGTATCACGTCCTTCACCGCCTGGCTTATCACGCCCCGCTTCGACCCCATGCGCTCCAACTCCTTCAGCTGCCGCCACAGGCAAGGAGAGACGCAGGAGAGAGACAGAGAGATACAAGTGGAGGGGGTGCGGGAACGGAAAGGTAAGGGGAAAGTAATAAGCTACATTCGGGACGTGCAGATTGCGTTGCACAAAAAAACAAATATGAGCATGCGTAAAATCATCCTCAGGGTGCAAGCGGGCAGCGAGTGGGCGCGGGGCGAGGGGTGGGGGGCGGCAGGGACGCACGAGGAAGAAGTCCTTGGTCTCGTAGAAGATCTCGAGCATCTTCTCGCGCTTCTCCTCCAGCGACAACCCGCGCTTCTTCGTCTGCGCCGCCTTCGACTGCCCATCGCCCGCCGCAAGCAGCAGGGGTTCGCGCGCGCGGGGTGTGGGGTTTGAGTGAGGAGTGGAGAGGGAAGTGGGGGAATGAGGTGGGGATTATCGTAGCATCTGCGCGAACATGGTCGACGGGAAAAGCATCGGAGTAGTGGGAGACGGAGTGTGAACACGCCTACCATTTTTGCTGTCCGTTACACAAGGGTGTACAATATTAAAGTTTCAACGCTCTGAAGAAAACACGATGCGCAAAGCTAACTTAGGTTGAGCACTAGGGCCGCGCTGGAGAAGGCGAAAACGTGCGCAAGAACAAGAGTGAGTGGGAAAACATGAACATGGTGAGGTGTGGGAATGGATATAGCCAAGGGAACTAGGCGGCTTCGGGAACGTCGTGACGGTGACGATAGTTCTTAACTTAGCTACACTTACAGATTCTGTGAAAATGTTAAACTGCGTGTACTCGGCACTAGATATAGAAAATGCTAGAATCTTAGCAATCTAACATGCAATATACATATTGAAGCTCGAAATGTGATTGTTTTGAATATGATACAAGATTTTTCCTTCATAGCCGATTTTACTTCCCGAATTCAAACTATCAAAACGTTATATTATTTAGGGATTTGTATAGGATTGCATTGCGAGGCGTTTCCTGACCTTTTAGAGTTGTTGGCGGATGTCGAGACCAGTCTTAGTGAAGTCTCTTGTGCTGTCCCATGTGTCGCATCGCAAGAGATCCCCCCACTCCACAGTGATAGTCGAATGACACCCAACTTTCCCTTTCCCTTGACCAACCCCAGTTCAGCGCACACGACAGGGCAGAACGGACACAATTCTCCCATTCGACGGGCCCGTGACGCCCGTCTTCTCGTCGCGTCGGTCGACAGCCACAAGGTCCCGCTCCCCATCGCACTCCCAGTCCGCTGCTACCCCTGCCGCTCTCCGCAGCGCCGTCTGCCCAAGCCCGCCAGTAGGCAGCACCATGGGCGCTCAGGCGTTATATATCTCCATGTCTGCGCAATCCATCCCGTCTGCCGGTGCTCTGGAGCTCGCAGCGCGACCTCTACTTCCAGAGCGCTTGCATTGGCTGCTCCCCTTCGCATTTCCCCACGCCGTGCATCTTCAGGCGGCGATCGCGCCCGCCAGGGATTGGGGGAAGGTGAGTGCGCGAGGCGAGTCCACAGGCGGCTGCCTGCCCCCACCTCGTGCGCGCTGCTGCCGCCATGCGGGGATGCCCGCCGTCGCGCGGCGCTACCTGCCCGCTTGCGGCGCTGCGGCGTCGCGCCAGTGCGTCGCCACACCGCCTGCCTGGTGCGCTGCGGGCCAACTGCGGCTCGCCGCTGCTGAAAAGACCCGCGACCTTCCGCGGAGATGCGAGCTTGGGAGTCGCGCTGCTGCTGCTGGCGGCCGTGGCGGCCGTGCAAGCGGAGGCGGCGGCGAGCAGCACGTCTCGGCGGTACACGATTGCTCTGCTGCGCAGATTGGATGAGAGAGTGGAGGTTTTCACACTGCCCGAGCGACTGGTGTTCGCCGGCACTGCCATGCTGCCCCCCATGGATGATGCACCTGATGCTCCTGGTGACAGCAGCAGTGCAGGTGATGGTGGTGGTGCCGATAGTGGTGGTGGTGCCGATAGTGGTGGTGGTGGCGATAGTGGTGGTGGTGCCGGTGAGAGTGAGAGGGGAGGCAGCAGCGAGTCGGGCAGGGAGCAAGGCAGCAGCAGTGCGAATGATGGTGCAAGCGACCAAGGCACACAAGGCAGTGACACGGGCGCAGGAGGCACGGACTTGACCCCCAGTAGCAGCAGCGGGGCCAACAGCAGCGACTCTGGCACGTCAGCGGCTGCAGAGGAGAGTGACCTTAGCGAGGCAGTGGAGCAGCGCAACGAGCAGGCCATCAGGCGCATCCGCTACCCGCAGGGGGCGCGCCAGGGGGTCATGCGCGCTGCTGAAGGGCGTGGGGGGAGCGCGGAATCAGGAGGGGAGGATGCTGCAGCTGCTCCTTCTTCTGCCCCTGCGCCTGCGCCTGCGCCTGCTGCTGCAGTTGATCCGTTGCTAGAGCAGTTCGTGAGTTGAGGAGAAATTTCAAACACAAGCACACACGCTCGCACGCGCACACATGCACACATGTACACAGCCTGCCCTGCCCCGGCACTCAACACCCGTCACACCACCCTAAGCTTTGCTGTACCACATCCCAACTCTGCTCCCCCCTCCCCACGCCCCCACCACCCCCACCCCTTCCCCCGCGCAGGTACAGCAGCTGGCGCGGGCGGGGGCGGTGGCATCACAGGAGACAGAGGTGAAGGCGGTGGTGAGGCGGCGGGCAGCGGTGGGGTTTCCTGGAATCGGCCAGTACAGCGAGGTGAACAGCGGCACTGCGCCCACCTACAACCACTCCGTGGTGAGATGAGAACCACGTTTTCCCATGCCTGCCATTCCTGCTTTGGAGGGCCGCGGTTACCACACGGCACGGTGGAGTGCATGCACCTGGGAGAGGCACCTTCCGCTGCTCCTTGCTAGCATCACCTGCTGTAGCTTCGTTGCTTCTCTCGTGATCTCATGTGGCGCTGCTGCTCGTGTGTGTGAATGGCATGGCATGCCTGTGGTGGGTGTGGCAGGTGCGTGTGACGCCACCGGATGGTGGCTTGTGTGTGGGCAACGGGTACATACTGCAAACCGTCAACGTTGGTGAGACACTCTCCTCTCCATGCAAGCGCCATCGCATACATGTACGATGTGCCCCCTTGCTTGCCACCCTATTGACTCTGTGTCTTTCGCCCAACGTTTTTGCTTCTGGTCGCACGCACACTCTCGTCCCCGTCACTCCTGTACGTGGCTCATCATCGTGTGCTCTCCACTCCCGCCCGCCTGTGCGCTCGTGGCAGCGCTCGCGGTGTACAACACACGAGGGCGGCAGCTCACTCGCACCATTTCGCACAACGAGGCACGCCACAGGCAGTCCCCTTTCACGCAAGCTTGCTGTGCTTGTGGCAGTTCCATGTTGCTGTTCATATTATGCTGTTCTTGAATATGCTGGCTCTTGGGTGGTGCACTGCCAGTGTCTTAGAGTGCGCCTCTGCTCTGCACGCCCACAAACCCTATCCCTTGAAGGACCGCGCCTCACTCACTCATTGCTACCAACTCAAGCTGCCACTGCTCCTCCTCCTCACCCACACCCTGCCATTCACTCCCTCCCATGCCGTGCCGCGCCTCGTCCCCCACGACTGCAGTTCGTCAACGTGCTGCCGAGTGTGGTGCAGCGCCGGGAGCCATACAGCGCATCAGTGCGGGGGGACAACATCGGGGACATGTCCTGCACCTACGACCCTGCTTCCAGGCGCTTCTTCGTCTCCTCCTACTGGCTCGTGAGTCCCCTCCGCCTGCCATGTCGCTGTTGTTTGGGCCATGTAATATTCACGCTCCTCATGCCTCATGCCATGTGTGACTGTCCAGCTGTTGTGTGGTCATGTGGAATGGGAAGTTGGGCCTGGTGGACGTGCATGTGTGCGGTGCACGCACCCCATGTCTCATCAAGGACACATGGGCTCTGCCTTTAATTCATTGCACAGAGGGCCAAAGGGTAATATGAGAGTGTGCAAATGTGTGGCTTGTTGCAGAAGAGGGACTGCAGCAGCCACGAGCATGCAACGCTCGGACACCACGACTAACCAATGCTCCCTCTCCCGCCAATCGTCCTGCTTTCTACCTCTCGCCCTACTGCTGCTCCCTCTTCTCCTCCCCACCTGTGCAGTCCGGAGGGGCGAGCAACGGGTATGACAGGTTTGGGCAGACGAGGCAGCGAGGGAACCGCACAGTGGGGTCGGGGGTGATAGTGGCGGCGTCCACCGACGGCGACCCCACCCAGCCTTGGAACGTCTTCTTCATCCCCGGCTCGTACGTCAGGCCCTTTCCACCTCTCACCGCTCCTTGCACTGCTCCTTTCTATAGATCATGTACAGCCATGCACAGCATCGCACTCCTGAGTGGCATCCTCCTGCTCCTCCTGGGATGCCGCCACCTCCCCAAGCTGCTCTGCACGTGAATGCTACATCAACCCCAGCCCCCGCACATGCGTGTTCAATCCCCCATTAGGCGCCAGCCTTGTCCTAACTCATGCTCCTCCTGGCCTTGCCTCTGCCAGCTGGTGTGCTCCTTGCATGGCTATTCACGTGCACTCCGCACTCTCCCGTTCCCCCTCTTCTTCTGCTGGATGGATGCTGCTTGTGCCCCACATACCCCACTGGTGTGCCATGCAATATGGGCATGTGAGTGCCATGGGTGCTGCGGGTGTGCTGCATGGGTGCGGCGTGCAAACATGCATGCACCGCGCCGTGCCCATGGGGCATTGCTGCACATGGCAGCAACGACGGCAACAATTCCAACCCCGATTGGGGAGCACCGCTCTACTACAACACATCCAAGCTCACAACTCTCCGTAAGATCGCCACATGGCTCCCCCACAGTTGTTGCTTTCGGATTGGTCTGTGAGTGTGGCCAGGTGTGTCTTTTAGATATCACTTACCTTTCTCTTATGGCAGTGTCGTCCTTTCGTAGTGATGGCCCCCGTCACCACTGGCTCGCTAGATTTGCTGCTACCACAGCACCAGGTCTCAGTGCTTCACGTGTCTCGTCTTTCCTGTCTCCTCCCCTCTCCTCGTGCCCCCCTCTCTTGCTTCCCCTGCATGTACTCTCCGCGTGCGGTGCAGAGGACTACCCGCAGATTGGCACGGATGCCCATGGTGAGCTCAGCTGTGGAGCACGCACGGCGCCACACCACACATGCCCAGCCATTGCTCTTGCATGTTGCTTGGGGCTTTGGTGGCGGCAGTAGCGCAGGGCTGAGAGGTGCAACACAGGGCAAGCAAGGCACACAGAACGTGCACAGCCACACAGCAAGCCACGCACTGGTACCACCTCAGATCAGAGATGTTGTGAAGGGCAGGTTCCATCGCACTGGTACCACCTCACTGAACCATGCGTGCACCTGTGCTTTCCTTGCATGCTCTCCCCTCCCCATGCATGACCCCTGCATGCTCTCCCCTCCCCATGCATGACCCCTGCATGCTCTCCCCTCCCCATGCATGACCCCTGCATGCGGCAGGTGTGTTTGTATCGGTGAACCAGTTCGGCCTGGAGGAGTCCAAGTACTTTGGCGCCAATATCTAGTGAGTCCCCCGCACCCTGTACGTGTGCATGGAGGTACTGGGTGCTGCCGCGCAGCAAGGTCCCAGGGCGGAGGGTACTGGATGGGGAGTGTAGGCATGGTGAGTTGACCCATCTAGAGTGGCAGTGGGCCGAGTGATTGCTGTGCGTGCATGCTGCACTCACAGGAGCTCTAAGTTCTCCCCACTTAAAACCCGGGTGCAACTTCTTAGGAACAGTAGCGAGACAAAAATGGCATGTGATTAATGAGACTCCTATTGGACAAGAAAACTGTGTGTCCCACAAGAGGACAAACCTCTCGCATGTGAACTTCCTGGGTCAACCCTCGTCCAAGCTATGGTCCTTTGAAGTGGAGCTCATAGTGGCTCACCTGGTTACCGCTTCATATCTGTTCCCCACGATTTTGGCGCCCACCCTACAGCCCCACATGTGCAGCTCTCCAACTGCTCTACATCCCAACTGTAACCATCTTTTAGCGCACATGTTATGAATGTTATGCACACAGACTCAAAAAACCCACATGTTCTGCACTCATCTGCTCCCGCCCCTCGTATCTCCTTCTCTCCCACCTAATTCCCCCTCTCTGAACCTCCCAACCCCCCTTCCGCACGCAGTGCCATGGGCAAGCAGCAGCTATTCCGCACGTGCACCGCCTCCATCCTGCGCTTTGCCATCCCCTACTCGCCTGCGCTCACCAGCCCCTCCTACACCATGTATCCGCACAAGGTCCCTGCCGATGGCTCCTATGATACCGCCAACAACGGCACCATGTACTTTGGCTGGATGGCTGTCAATTTCAATGATGCGCCCAACGAGACCGTTCTCGTGCCCAATGTCACTATCGTCGGCGCCTTTGCTCTCACCGGTACCAGCTCGCTCGGGTCAACCGAGGCCGTTGATCGCGTCGTGCCGCACATCGCAGCCGTCGAAACGCCGCCGTTTTTCATGCCGATGCCGGTGAGGCAGCGACCGGGGCCCACCCCCACGGCATGGCGGTTCAACCGGAGGGAGGCGGCCATAGACGCGTTTGCAGCGGGCATGCAGGCCGTGGTGGTGCAGCCACAGCGCAGCACCATGTGGCTGGCCTTCACCTCTGCGTTCGGCCCCGCCCTCGGGTCGTCGTCCGTGGTGCTGGCTCAGATCAGGCTAAGGCTGAGGGCAGAGGTCTCAGGGGAGGTGGCATCTGAAGACTCGTCAGGGGAGGTGGCATGCGTAGAGTCATCCTCAGAGGTGGTAATGAATGGGACTGTGGGGGAGACAGAAGCAGTGGAGGCAGCAAGTGGTGGGTGGTCATTCGAGGTGCAGCTGGAGGGGTTCAAAGCGGTGGGCGTGCAGGGCAACAGCCTGCTGCGCCCTGCCATGGCGCTCAACAGGTGCGCTTGGGTGTCAGGGGAGTGAGTGGTGCTGTGTGATGGGGGAACGATGGGTGTCAGGGAGGTGCTACCATGCCTCGAATGTTGCAACTGGTGCTAATGGCATGGATGCTGAGGGCGTGGCACGACACGATCAGGAGTTAAGGTGGAGAAGCAAGGTGATAAGAAGAAAGAGAGGATGGATCCTGGGCAAGATCATAAGGAACAGTGATGCATGCACCCACACACATACGTCCCCAATCATCCCCACTTCCCCATGTCTCTGCTCTCAGGCGCGGCAGGGGCATACTAGCAGCAGCACTGGCGGGTCCCGTCCTTCTACCCCTCTGCTGCCTATGCCCGTGTGGATGCAGCCCTGCGTGTTGGCCCCGTCACTATTGCAGCACCCGGGAGAGCTCCCCTTGATGACTACTCTGGTGAGCAAGTGTGCCTTGGACTCTGCTGCTTTTGCAAGAGCCGATTGCTTTGCATAGTTCATACAGCATGGTACACATGGTCCTGTGTATGAACACCTCATGCCTCTCGTGCCTGCGCTACCCCTTATCCGCCACCCTAACACACACATATTATATTTTGTACTTTCAGATTAGCTAGCCACCCCACATCCAACTCCCCAAATCCGCATGTGCCACGTGGTGTGGTACTTGGCAGGGTACCTGTTTGATCAGAGGGTGATGCGGTACGGGGACTACCACACGGCCACCACTGATGAGCACGGCAATGCATGGGCCGTGGTGGAGTATGTGCCCGGTGTGCCGCGCACCCAGTGGACCAACTGGGCCACCTACATCTTCAAGGTCCACCTCTAGGCCCGCCCGCCAACACGCTAGAGTCCGGTAGCGATTGCGTTAGGGCTGTACTGTACAGTGGGCAGTAGGTAGTGCATATGAGTTGTTGCAGGACTAGTGTTCTTGAGTTGAGTCATCCAAGGAACTTGGTTTGCAGCACGGCACCGTAAGCGGCCGACGGCCGTATAGTGGAACCCCATAACTGTTAGGACCCCCCGGGGGTCCAGTAGAGACTAGAAGGGGAGGGTGAGGGGGGAGGAGAGGGGGGAGAGAGGGGGCTTTACTATTGTCGGCGCTCATAAGGCCCCAACTGTTTTGCATCATAAGCTTAACGTAGGCATGCGCCAATTTCCCAAGTAGGATAATCATTTTTGTCATAAATTATGAACTAGATCAAGGAAGGCAGAGAGGAGTTATTATGTTCAGAAATGTACAATGCTTATATTTCGTATTGCGGTGCACCCTAGCACCACAATATCGACCACCGAGTTCCTCTGCTTCTCCCACTCCCCGTCCTCGTTCACTGTCACCCAAGCACCTCCCGAACGTTCGCAGCAGCGCGTCTCATGGCAGCACCCGCCGCGCTGTCCCCCGCCGCGCTGCCGCTGTGGCGGCGGATGCTGCAGTCGTCCATCGACGCGCACGCGCACATCCCCTCCGCGTCCTTCGTGCAACTCGTGCGTACCCGGGCCTGGTTTCCTGCCTGCCTGCCATTCACCTCGCCGCTTTGCGCACCGCAACCATGACCCCGCGACTGCCATCAGCTGTCCCACTGCTGGGGCACCTGATGGCACTCGGGCGCCCACTCTTAATGCTTGCTTTCCCTGCCTGTATCGCGTCTCCTTTCCATCCGCTTGTCCCGCGCGCGCCCGTGCCGCGTGCAGGCCACAGTGCGCGCCAACGGCACGCCCGCCAACCGCTCTCTCGTCTTCAGGTGACCCTTCCACTCCCTGGGCCGCGGCTCCCCCGCCTTCCCCTTCCCCGCCTTGACCCCCCTTTTCCGCCTCACCTGTCCTCCCCGCCTTTCCTCCCCCTCCGCCTCACCTTCCCCGCCATATCGGCCTTCGACCCCGCCTCGCTCTTTCCCCACTCGTCGCCATTCACCCCCGGCCTCGCCCGTCGAGGGCAAGGTCGCTGTACCGCCTCTGCAGCGCTCGTTTCCTCCCTTCGCGCCTGCTGCTTCCATGCTCACTCCTGCCCCAATCTCCTCCCCCCCCTCCTCCTCTCCCGCATTACTGCTTCCGTGCTGCTTTTGCCTGAAAGGCACCTTGAGTCACCTTGCACGCCCTCTCTCAACCATTCACACGATTCCAATTCAAGCCACCCCACATGGTTGTTGGCGCGTGTTCCGCCCCTCAGAGGCTTCATGGAAGGTTCCGACAACCTCATATTCTACACAGATGGCCGCAGCAGCAAGGTCCGCTCCTCCCTCCTCCCTCCTCCCTTACCAATCCTTGCCTTTCCCCTACCTCTCCCTCCCTCCCTCCCTCCCTCCCTCTCTCCCTCCCTCCCTCTCTCACTCCCTCCCTTCCTTCACCCCCCCTACCCTCATTCACTTGTTCGCGCTTTCCCCTTTCACATCTCGCTTCCTTTCTGTTCGTCCCTCCCATCAAACATCACGAGCCGCATACAGGTCTCCATCCTCCCCGACCCTCCCATTGCTCCACTGCTCGCCCTCTTGACTCTGCAATCTGTCCTGCACGTGCGTTCGTACCCTCAACCTCTGCCTCTACCTCTCCCCCCCCCCCATCTCCCATGTGCGTGCATGCCCCGTGACATGAGCAATGCACCCGCACATGCATGTACACCCACACTCATGCGCCGTGCATGTCTGTCTCGCCTCTCTCTTTGTGACGGCACTACCCATGCAGGTCAAGGAGATGGAGCAGTGGTCGCTCATCGAGGTACACCAGTGGTGAATCCATCCCGTCCATGCCACTTGCTCATTGATGGATTCGTCACCCCGATTGCCCTCTCCACTTGCTTCTCTCGCCTCATTCGCCCATCATGTCCTCCTCATGCAACATGCCCGCCTGTATCCTCTCTCACAGTGCTCCCCGTGTGCTTCAAATGGCTCCCCTTGTGCATGTGACTGCCCCTCGCGCCCACGCAGCTGTGCTGGTATTTCTCCGAGTCATGGGAGCAGTACCGCATTGCTGGCAGCATGACCACCGTCCATGCCAACTCGCCCGACCCTTCGCTCTTGAAGGTGCCTCCCTTCCCCATCATCCCTTCTCACTTGCTCTGCACTTCCTTAGCATCTCCCTCCCTTGCGCCCCGCTGCCTTTGCCCCCCCTCGTTAGTTTCCTCCACTCAAGCGGTCCGTGTATTAGATCCGAGCAAGTACAGACATGCACAAGGATAGCATGCCCATCTCCCCCACGCACTTGTACCCACCTTCACCATGTGCTCAATCCATGCCCCTCACCCCCGCTCTCACCCTCTCATCGTGGCTTCATCTCTCAAGCCCCATGGGCGCTCTTCGCCCCCTGCAATGTGCACCTCGTCCCTAGTCCTGCCTCCTGTTCACCACATGACGGCCATCTCTCCTCTGCTTCCACTCACTCTTCTCTCACCTTTCCTCACCCCATGTTTCCTTTCCCAGTGCATTTCCTTCCCCTTACATCCCCCTTTAACCCATTCTTTTCCTGCATCCCTCTGCTTTTTCCTCCATGCCCGCTCCTCACCATGTCCCACAATGTCCCTCCATTTCCTCCCGCTCCAAGACCAAAGCCTCCTTCCCTCCACCGCCACCCTCGCCCCATAGCTCAGTTCGCTTTTCCCTGCATTTGCTGGGCCCCGCCCTTCCTCTCCCCAGCTGAGGCATGCGGCATGGCAGCCGCTGACAGCGCAGCAGCGCTGGCAGTACTGCCGAGGGCACCCAGGCACGCCCTGGGAGGAAGAGAGCGCAGCAGGGCGGCCTGATGGGCACGAGTCATCGCTGGCAGCACTGGCGTTGCTGACACAGCGAGATGCAGAGGGGGCGAGTGCGGAGAATAAGGATGAGCGTGAGAAGGTGGACCCGGATAAGGTTGCCTCTGTTGAGCCCGTGGAGGACTTCTGCCTGCTGCTGCTGGAGCCCCATGAGGTATGGTGATAGGCTCACACGCTCACGGACTCACGGGCTCACAGGCTCACAGGCTGACACGTTGCTTACAGGTACCGTGGGTCTAAGCTTGCACACTCAATCACGCCTCTGCTTCTTGTGATCCCCCGTGCAGGTGGACTACGTGCACGTGAAAACGCCCTCTCGCCACCGACACACAAGGCTCATGGCAGACGAGGGGAAAGAGGGTGGGGCAGGGGGGAGAGGGTACGAGTGGACTGCCACGCGCATTCACCTTTAAGCAGCCCCTAGCACTGCTAGAGGCTACTGGTTGCAGCCAATGGCGACCTTAGCACTGTATGGTGGTGCGCAAGATTGAAAATTAGAGCTTGTGTGAACAGGTGGATCTCAAGGACGTCTTGTAGAAGGTTCAATGCATCCTCTGTTTGACCATTACACTTGGTGGTGACTGGTTGCCTGAATTAGAACCATCCCCCCACCCCTCCCCCAACCCATCCCCACCTCCCCACGCCCTTCCCAACGGTTGCTATTGTGCCCTTGCCATAATCATCCCACTCCCCCCACCTCCCCACCTGCCCCTATCGTTTCCCCTCCACCCCAGGGCTCCTGCTAGGTTCTGAGGACGTCTGATTTATCAGACGGGTCCCCCGGGCATTAGACATGGTTTTGTCTGATCCTATCCTGTTTGCCAAATCAGATGAATCCAAAAAAGTGAGTCAGACCAAATTAGTCTGATAACGAGAGCCCTGCTCCACCCCCATGCCCCTCTAAGGCAGGTCTATCCACCATAGTCAGCTCTTGCCCATCTTTCCAGAAGCCAAATCCGAGGCGATTGATATTCATTTCAGAGTGTTGTGGTGCACAAAACACTGCATCCTAGAACGCATACTCGCAGAGAGTCCCACAAAGAATGTGGGCTACGATACTTCTCCGAAGGTGAATCGCCCTCAACTTCCAACACAGAAATACAGCACTACCAATGAGCACCAGCATCCTCCAATGCAGCAGAGTAGATGTGTAGGTGCAGCAGGTGCAGACTCATGGCAACAGCTGCAGTCAAATGTTGCAAACACAGTACGGTACTTGTCAGCGACTCAGCTACTCCTCAGGAGCTGCCGCCTTGCTTGCAGCTGCAGAGGACGCAGAGCGTGGTGGTGCTGTCGCATGTGTGGTCAGAGACAGGGCATCAACCATGGTGCTGAGAGGTGCAGCAGCACTGCCGCCCTTTGCTGGAGGGGAGGTGCGGGGACAGGCAGGCAGGGAAGGAGGAGAGGTGCAAAGGCAAGACACGCCACACCCAAGGGAATGGGTGGGACAATGAGGCGAGGCGAATTTGAGCATCCAACTATAGGTTCTCAAGAAACCAGAGCAATTTAGCATGCAGAAATAACAAGGGGCATGCCAGGAGGGCCCGAGGGGGCTTGCCTGGTTGTGGTGCCTCTAACAGATGTCCATGCGGAGCAGCTGCTGCCGTGGGAAGCGGACTGGCAGAGTCTGCTGCTGCAGCCGCGGTAGCACCACTGATAGGGGACGGCACAGCGACTGCCACAGGAGGAACACTGGGTGCATGCGGTGCTGCAGCAGTACTAGCAGCAGGCTCCACCACATCTGCCTGTGCATGCTCAGGTGTGGCAGCTGGCCCGGCAGCAGCAGCAGGGACGGTGCGTGCAGCAGCTTCTGCTCCGCTAGTGGGAGTGCCAGGCTCAGACTGCGTCCAGTGGGTTAGTGAGACGAGAAATTCGGGTAGAAGGAAAAGGTGGGTTTATTAGGAGAAAAGAAGATGGAGGACTGAGGCAAGTGCAGCATAAGAAGAATCAGGCAGCAATCAGAGCAACACCGATAGCAGCTGGGCGAATGCTTGAACCAATATTTTCTTCCCCTGCCACCTGTCATGCTTCAAGCACCTGCCACCTGTCATGCTTCAAGCCACAGCCACCTGTCATGCGCCAACACCATCCTCTACCACTCGGACAGCAGCATAGAGCCACAGACACCAAACGGGCAACACCGCACACCAACTGACGAGGGAAGCAGGCAGCGTGGCCATTAAAGAAATCAAAATAAGTATAAGAATCACTAAGCGAGTTGGCAGCAAGGCGGATGCTTACGATGTCAGCAGCTCCTTCCTCCTCCAACACCCCCAAAACCCCCTGCACCACCCCTTCCATCACCCTCTCCAACACCCCGTCCAACACTTCCCTATCCTCCTCCACCTCCTCATCGTCCGAGCTGCCATGGTCGCTCTCACTGCCCTCCATGCGCTCGTGCGCGGCTGGCAGAGAAATCTGCACCTCCACTTCCGCCACCCCTGTGCTGCTCCCTGCCATGTCGTCATGCCCAAGCCGTCTCAGGCCGTACAGATGGCCCTGCACGTGCAGAGGGGAGAGGATCAACACAGTACGGCAACCCTGTATGACGTCAATGGGAAATTGACACAGAGAAGGCAGGTAGGAGAGAAAGGGGGAAAGGTAGGCGGAGAAGGGGGGAGGAGACAGGCGGTGGGAGGGAGAGGGGAAAGGAAGCAAGAATGATGAGGAAATGCAAGGCAGCAGCGCGTACCATGGTGCAGACGTAGAAGACCATCTCTGGGAACATGACGTTGTACTTATTCAGCAGGCTGCACACGATGATTTTTGTTGGAGTAGTGTTCAACAGTGCAAACACGTTCCAGACCTGCCAAATAACTTGCAGCGCGGGGTTGGAGTTTTGAAGAGTGTCAGAAAAGGGCAGGATTTGAGGGAAAGGACCATTGTGGGATTAGACAATGCATTAGCGCATCTTGGGATAAGTTTTCTGTGGACCCAAGAGTCATGGGACAGGACAATTGCGCACCTGGGAGGAGCAGTACGGGCACTGCTCGTCGCAAATGAAGGGGGACTGGGAGGCCAACTCGTACATCCTGTTGGCAAGCGCATGTGAATGAAGGGGCAAAGAGGCATCAATAGGGCTGTGTGTGCTAGTTGATGAGGGCAGGAGGACACGAACATGACATGCATCATTGACAACGGGCATAACTTATTTTCCCCCCGTGTTCCAACTTGAGGAACTGCCTTCACTGACGCCAACTGTAGCGATCCGTTTTTTTGCATCACATATGAAGCAAAAAAAAAAGGGTCGCTACAAGGGCGTGAATGAAAACAATCCATCAAATCAGACAAGGGGAAACAACCATACAGGACGGTTCAGCAAGACATACCGTACGTGTAAATGGAGACTGACCCGCGTGGTACGGAAAACTATACGGAACAAGTAGCTCACACCTTAGGCGCCTTTTTTGTATGTCACCTAAGGAAAGCAAGCAAAGAAACACCATCGACCGTACTTGGAGCTCTTAAAGTCCATAACAATTCCACGAATCAGAACACATGGCATGTCGCTGCGCTCCTCGCCTGAATGCGTATAGCACCCAAATATCAGGAAATGAACCGTTGGAGCGCCAGTGCGGTTGACAGCCATGATCTCAAACTTGCTGAGGCAGTGGCAGTGAGGCGCGCTGGAATAGCCTTCCGGACTGGCCAGAGGCTCCCAGCACGCGCACTCGCTGCGGTCGCTACACCCGCAGTTCATTGCCTTGTACACCCTGCCTCGCTGCAGCGAGGGTCGCACGCCCGGACACACGTTCACGAGCTTCGCCAGGCTGAGTGTTTCTTCGTTCTCCATGCTACGCAGCATGCGATCCAGCAGCTCGCGACTAAATTTCGGATCTTCACCGCTGACCCTGTTAGCAGCGGCTTCGTCATCAACGGCATCAGCTACAGCAGCATCAGGTACAGCCTCGGAGTCAGAGCGTCGCGCGTCGCTCGGGGATGCGTCGAGAGCGAGTTGGTCGCGGCAGTGCCACCTCCAGAGATGCTCCTTCGCCATCCGCGCAAACCCCGTCGACACGCACGCGAGCCGCGCGATCGGCAGCCCCGAGGGCTGCGCGAGGCGGAGCACGGTGTAGACCACGTCCGGGGGCAGCGACTCCATGGCGCGCCGCTATCTCCGCTGGACGGCTGGAAGCGAAAGCAACCGTGGTGGATGGGGAGGTGAACGAGGTTTGCCGTGGAAAAGGCGTGGGGTTTGTGAAGGAGGTGCGCTGCGAAATTTATACAGCTCGATCGGGTTAGGGGGAACCATCGCAACGGTCGCTACCGCAGAGGTAAAATCTCGGGAGCCGATCAAAGGGTTAGCCATACTCTTATCGTAAGGCCACATGGTTGCTGCCGCGAGAATCTCAAGGAACCAGCTGTACATGCAAGGGAACTCTAAGGGCGTGTAAAATCCCCGCAAATTTGCGAAATCTGCTTTTGGCCGGGGTCGACTTCGTGTCGTCACATTTACAGCCACTATTTGCAGATTTGCTAACTTTACAGGTTTGAGGGCCGAATTTCAGGCCGGTTTCAAAAAGTTGTAAAATTTGCAGTTGCTACAGTAGGAACGTATGTGCGACGGGGTCGTACATTTGACGGCGAAAACTCTGATTGGACAGGTTAAAAAATTTCAATCGTTCTGCGAGACTGTGCGACGTCGTACGTGAGAGTCGCTCACGGTGTCGACTACTTGGCCGAATTGGAGTCGACATGGTGTCGGATACGAGTCGACTTTCAAAACGGCCATCAATTTCGCGAAATTAACGATGGTCGCGATTGTTATCGATTTTTTCTCAAACGGGTTACTTTCGCCAATTCGGCCATTTGGCTAGTGGCCGAATTTTTAAAGCCCGAGTTATACATGGCAATTTTAAGTTCAAGATTCCTGAATATGAATTCGCAAAAAACCATGTTACCACCCGAAGTGGAGGATATCCGTCGCGATCCAGAGGGGAGGTTTTGCGACGTTGTTCCATGATTGGCCAGCGACAAAACCAGTCATTCCGAGTAAAGGGTCGGAGGGCAATGGAGCACTGTTCACTTTCAGTAAACTTGAAAACCATGTTGTACTAAATGGCAGGCATATTGACAGCCTACGTTTACTTAGTTCACCCGTTTTTCACGCCCAAACTTTCTCCGTATCACTCCTTTTCTCCGTAGCAGCTGTATCAGTACAGCAGCCTATTTGGTGACAAATACGAACAGCCAATCATAAAACCAGTCGGAGATGTCCCATTTATACAATAACTAGAGAGCTCACATGCGTGTGCGGTGCGCACCCAACCGGATATAGTTACTCGCGCGACGCCAACACGTGCCTGCACGTCACAATTCCATCCACCCCCCCGGCGTCTAACCCGGGTTGCGCATCTAGACGGTCGCACGGTCGAGGGTCAAGTATATCCCTTCCGACTGTTGCTCTCCCTTCCGCCGTCGCTCTCCCTTCCGCCCGTCGCCCTTCTTTCCCCCTCGTCGCCCTGCCTTCCGTCCGTCGCCCACCCTTGTTCCCGTCGCCCTCCCTTCCCGTCGCCCTCCCTTCCCGTCGCCCGCGCTTCTTCCCGTCGCCCTCCCTTCCCGTCGCCTTCCCTTCCCGTCGCCCGCGCTTCTTCCCGTCGCCCTCCCTTCCCGTCGCCCTCCCTTCCCGTCGCCCTCCCTTCCCGTCGCCCTCCCTTCCCGTCGCCCTCCCTTCCCGTCGCCCTCCCTTCCCGTCGCCCTCGCTTTCCCCGTCGCCCTGCCATCCACTCCCCGTCGCCCTCGCCTTCCCTCCCGTCTCCCTTCCCATCTCGCACACTTGTCACCCTCCCTTTTCTCTCCCTACTCCCTCTTTTCCCTCCCTCCAATAATCGCCTTCCTTCCCCCAACTTATACCCCTTCCCTGCTTCCCCCCATCCCCTGCCCTGCTTCCCCCCATCCTCTTCATTCTTTCCCCGTATCCCCAGCCCTGCTTCCCCCCATCCCCTTCCCTGCTTCCCCCCATCTCCTTCCCTTCTTCCCCCCATCTCCGTCCCTGCTTCCCCCCATCCCCCTCCCTGCTTCCCCCCATACCCCTTCCCTGCTTCCCCCCATCCCCTTCCCTGCTTCCCCCCATCCCCTTCCCTGCTTCCCCCCATCCCCTTCCCTGCTCCCCCCCATCTCCATCCCTGCTTCCCCCCATACCCCTCCCTGCTTCCCCCCATCCCCTTCCCTGCTCCCCCCCATCCCCTTCCCTGCTCCCCCCCATTCCCTTCCCTGCTTCCCTCATCCCCTGCCCTGCTTCCCCATGTCCCCTGCCCTGTTTCCCCCAATCCCCTTCCCTGCTTCCCCCCATATCCTTCCCTTCTTCCCCCCATCTCCGTCCCTGCTTCCCCCCATCCCCCTCCCTGCTTCCCCCCATACCCCTCCCTGCTTCCCCCCATCCCCCTCTCTGCTTCCGCCCATACCCCTCCCTGCTTCCCCCCATCCCCTTCCCTGTTCCCCCCCATCCCCTTCCCTGCTTCCCCCCCATCCCCCTCCCTGCTTCCCCCCATCCCGTTCCCTGCTTCCCCCCATCCCCTTCCTTGCTTCCCCCCATCCCCCTCCCTGCTTTCCCCCATCCCCTTCCCTGCTTCCCCATGTCCCCTTCCCTGCTTCCCCCCATCCCCTTCCCTGCTTCCCCATGTTCCCTTCCCTGCTTGCCCCCATCCCCTTCCCTGCTCCCCCATGTCCCCTTCCCTGCTTTCCCCCATCCCCCTCCCTGCTTCCCCCCATCCCCTTCCGTGCTTTTCCCCCTCCCGTTTCCATCGCTTTCCCCCTCCCGTCGCCCTCGCTCTCCCCCTCCCGTCGACCTCGCTTCCCCCCTGCTCACTCGCATTCCCCCTGCTCACTCTCTTTCCCTCTGCTCACTCTCTTCCCCCTTTCTCACTCTGCCCCCCCTTCCTCACTCTGTTTCCCCCTGCTCACTCTCTCCTCCTCACTCTATTCCCCCCTGCTCTATTCCCCCTGCTCTGTTCCACCCTGCTCACTCTCTCCTCCTCACTCTAATCCCCCCTGTTCTGTTCCCCCCTGCTCTATTCCCCCCCGCTCTATTCCCCCCTGCTCTATTCCCCCCTGCTCTATTCCCCCCTGCTCTATTCCCCCCCTGCTCTATTCCCCCCTGCTATATTCCCCCCTGCTCTATTCCCCCTTGCTCTATTCCCCCCTGCTATATTCCCCCCTGCTCTATTCCCCCCTGCTCTGTTCCCCCCTGCTATATTCCCCCCTGCTCCATTCCCCCCTGCTCTGTTCCCCCCTGCTCAATACCCCCCTGCTCTATTCCCCCCTGCTCTATTCCCCCCTGCTCAATACCCCCCTGCTCTGTTCCCCCCTGCTATATTCCCCCCTGCTCTATTCCCCCCTGCTCTGTTCCCCCCTGCTCTATCCCCCCCTCCTCTATTCCCCCCTGCTCTATTCCCCCCTGCTCTATTTCCCCCTGCTCAATACCCCCCTGCTCTATTCCCCCTTGCTCTATTCCCCCCTGCTCTATTCCCCCCTGCTCTATTCCCCCCTGCTCAATACCCCCCTGCTCTGTTCCCCCCTGCTATATTCCCCCCTGCTCTATTCCCCCCTGCTCTGTTCCCCCCTGCTCAATACCCCCCTGCTCTATTCCCCCCTCCTCTATTCCCCCCTGCTCTATTCCCCCCTGCTCTATTCCCCCCTCCTCTATTCCCCCCTGCTCTGTTCCCCCCTGCTCTATTCCCCCCTCCTCTATTCCCCCCTGCTCTATTCCCCCCTGCTCTATTCCCCCCTGCTCTGTTCCCCCCTGCTCTATTCCCCCCTGCTCTATTCCCCCCTGCTCTATTCCCCCCTGCTCTCTCCCCCCTTGCTCTCTCTCTTCTCACCTCCTCACTCCGTTTCCCCCTTGCTCACTCGGTTTTCCCATTGCTCATTCTCTTTCCCCCTGCTCACTCTTTTTCCCCATTGCTCATTCTCTTCCCCGCTGCTCATTCTCTTTCCCCTTGCTCATTCTGTTTCCCCCTGCTCATTCTGTTCCCCCCCTGTTCACTCCCTTCCCCCATGCCCACCCTCTTTCCCCCTGCTCACTCCCTTTCCCCCCTTCTCACTCTCTCCCCCCCTCCTCACTCTCTTTCCCCCCTGCTCAATGTCTCCCCTGCACTCTGTTTTTTCCTGCTCATTCTGTACAGGTCCCCAGCACCAGGTGTAGGGAGGGACCCACAAGTCCTGCTTTTTTGCTGCTGTGTATGCAGACAAGAGTGGGAAAAGACATATTATTGAGTAACTTGGTTCTTTTTTTACTAGATTGTTGCACTTCGTAGGTGGTCAATGGTCACTCTACTCCATGTATCAAAATTTAGTTATCATAATAAGCATACAACATTCCCACAGCCATGTATCATACCTAGGGGTACTATCAAACAACCAACATTCCAGCCGGTAAGCATACAAAAGAATGACAACTGACAAGGAAGCAACATGAAGAGGAAGAAATAAAAAGACACTCCTGGAACGGTAGGAGACAAACAGAAGGACGACCAGGGGAAAAGAGGGACAGAGAAACGGAGGAAGGGAAGGATGGATGGGGAGGGAGGACGGGGGAAAGGGAGGACAGGCAGCACCACGTCTCCCTATGCTGTGTGACTCTGCCCACCGCCATCCACCCACAGCGCCCCAAGCAGCTCCCTGGTGCAGAAAAGCACAAGGGATGAAGAGGTGCCGCTGGGCCGAGGGCGGTGTGGGAAACACCTGGAGGGGAGGGTGAGAGGATCGGATGGGGAAAGGACGGATGGGGAGGGATGAGGAGAGGATGGATGGGAAGAGGAGGGAAGTGGTGAGGTGGGATGGGCGGATGGGGAGAGGACGGGAGGGGGTGGGGAGAAGAGGGGATGGTGAGAGGAGGGGATGGGGAGAGGAGGGGACGCGGTGACGAGGGAAGGGGAAAGAAGCGGATGTGTATAGGAGGAGATGGGGTGAGGAGGAGATGGGGTTAGGAGTATGGTGAATGGGGTATGGTGGAATGGTGAAAGTAGGCATGGGGAATGGAAGGATGGGGAACGGAGGGAGAGTGAATGACGGGATGGGGAAAGGAGGTCTGGGGAAACGAGGAAAGGGGGATGGGAAGTAGGATGGCAGGGCGAGAGGAAGGGATTGAGAGAAGGGGGGAGGAAGGGCGGAAGAGGGGGATGGGAAGTAGGAAGAGGTGGGAAATGGCGACGTGTGACGATGCCACGGGGTGCGGCGGAGATGGGGTGAGGCATGGGGAGATGAGGGATGGGGAGGTGAGAGATGGGGAGGTGAGGGATGGGGAGGTGAGAGATGGGGAGGTGAGGGATGGGGAGATGAGGGATGGGGAGGTGAGAGATGGGGAGGTGAGGGATGGGGAGATGAGGGATGGGGAGATGAGGGATGGGGAGATGCGGGATGGGGAGATGCGGGATTGGGAGATGAGGGACGGGGAGGTGAGGGAAGGGGAGATGAGGGATGGGGATATGCGGGATGGGGAGATGAGGGATGCGGAGATGAGGGATGGGGAGGTGAGGGAAGGGGAGGTGAGGGATGGGGAGACGAGGGATGGAGAGATGAGGGAAGGGGAGATGAGGGATGGGGAGATGAGGGATGGGGAGACGAGGGATGGGGAGACGAGGGAAGGGGAGATGAGGGATAGGGAGACGAGGGAAGGGGAGATGAGGGATGGGGAGACGAGGGAAGGGGAGATGAGGGATGGGGAGACGAGAGTGTGGGGTGTGGCGTAGCAGGAGGAAGGAGAGTTGCAAGGCGCGGGGAGTCCCCATTCTCGTTAGAGGGGAGGGAGCGTGAGCGACGGGAGGGAGGGAGCGGTAGTAGTGACGGATGGGTGTGCGCGTACATGACGTAAGGGGAGTGAGCATGAGCGATGGGAGGGGAGTGAGCGTGGGCGACGGGAGGGGAGTGAGCGTGGGCGACGGAAGAGAGTGAGGAGGGGCGAAAGAGGCGTCGCGCAAAGGCGACGGGAGGGGAGGGAGCGTGATCGTGCGTCAGGAAGGAAGCGTGGGCGACGGGAGGGAGTGATCATCCTCTTTGGAGGGGAGTGCGCGAAGGCGACGGGAGGGGAGTGCGCGAAGGCGATGGGAGGGGAGTGCGCGAAGGCGACGGGACGGGTGTGCGAGAAGGCGACAGGAGGGAAGTGCGCGAAGGCGATGGGAGGGGAGTGCGCGAGGGCGATGAGAGGGAGTGAGCTATGGCGATGGAGGGAAGTGTGAGACATTGACGCGAGAATGGTCGCGTGGGCGACGGAGGGGAGTGAACATAGGCGACGGCGACGAGTAGCGTTCATTTTCAAACCAATCTACACACATGGCTTGGCTTTCTAACCCCCTCCAAGCACCAAACTCGTGGTGCAGTGTCGCACAGTTGGGTGACGAATGCTGAAGCTCGTCGCTGCCTGGTTTCGCTTTCGCACCTGTTCAGCTCTCGAAATGTTTTTTTTATGCCTTTCGCGAACACACTTAAAACCCCCGCGTCACTGTTGCAAAAACCATGCTGACCTCGGGCTTTAAGTGCGGCGATTTCACACGCCCTAAGGGCGTGTTACATTTTTGGCCTTACGTCGTCCGTCCCATTGACCGTCCGAACAATTTGCTGGTAACTAGTTTCGCTTGATTTCGGATGGAATCTCGCATATCAGCATGCGACGTCGCATGCGTCTGTACCGAGGATGGAACTATTTCAGTGCTCCCCGCATAGACGTTGGTCCGGATGCATGCTGTCCGTCAGGTGGAAAGGCAAAACGAACCGCGTGTTGATTGGCGGGCGAAATTCTGAAACGAAAATGGAATCCGCCAATCAGCTGTCTAGCCGCTCAAAACCAATCACGCGTTGCACAGATCGCGTGGTGGGCGAAAATTGCGACCAGGCGGGTATTGTGTTACAGAGTGTTCACAATTTTGAATTTCGAAACTCAAAATTGTTCCACTTCCAGACGTTCGGACGAGGCTTGTTCCGGACGTGAGCCTCGGACAGCCCGTACGAGATGATCCGTACCATCGACGGAGCATCGCCCAGACAAAAGGGCCTCGAAGAAAATGTAACACGCCCTAAGGAGAATGGGCCTGTTTGACAGGCACCACGACCACAATCCTCACAGAAAGGGAAATTGAAAGTTTTGCGTGTCTGCGTTTTTTGGTCTTGAGGGCACGTCGCCTGGAAATTCGAGCGGACATCGGCGAAGGGTTACATGCTTCGGCGAAGGGCACGTCTCTTCACATGCTTCTCAAAAAAAAGGCTCTCTATATCTAGCAACCCAACCTACTTCAAAGTTGTAAAGAATTTTCTCGGCATTCCTTACGGAGTCCGACTACATCGCGTACAGCAACAGCCGTTGTTCGCCCGTTACTGCTAACGGGGCTTCGCCAACTTCGCGCACACTGTTTTGCCAAACCTCGCACTGCTGGCCCGGCCGTGTCGGCCTACGCTTCGGGACTAGCCCGAGCCTCGCTGCCAGCATAGCACTAGCTAGCTCGCACGCACCGCGTTACCGTCTGCATGTTTTGCGTATAAATGTTCGCTCATGCCTTCGCTCACATTTTGTACTCGTTTGATACCTTAGTGCAATTCTCGCTACCTCGATCCATTGCACCCGTAACACTTGGTATCAGAGCCTCTTTCCTTTTCGGACCGCGCATCTCCGCACCCCAGGAACTCAACTTATGATTTTTCACTCGAAGGGACTCACGCACCTTAGCACCTAGGAGCCGCTGTCCTCGCGTTCTCTCGTAAACGCGTGCAGCCACGACTGCGCCTAGACTAAGACGAGCCGACGCCCTTCGAAATGGCTGAGCATATCGACGTCACGACTCTCACGCAGGAGCACTTGAACGATTTGCTGCAACAAATCCGCGAGAGCACCGAAGAAAATCACGACGCTGACGGAAGAACGCTCGTCCCTGCAAAATGATCTCACACGAGCACAACAAGCACAATCTCAAGCACCTGGCACTCCGGAACAGCCCACACCACAAGCATCACAACACGGAAGCGTGGGGCAACCCGCGAACGCGGCCAGTGATGGCGTCGTCCGCCCCGACGGAGACGATGACCACGGCACGACACACCCCGAAGCGACGAATGCGGCCCGAAGCCAGCCACGCGTCACAATTTCGGCACCAACCGACGATTCGGCACTGCCGTCACCGATGCCGCTGAAGCCGCAGCGTCCGCCATGCTTCGATCCCAGTCAAAGGGGTGGTCCTACCGTTCAGGCGTGGTTGTTCACGATGAACGTGTTTTTCGACGCCAACTACGTCTCGGAGGATACGGCGAAAATTCGCTACGCCGTGTCGCTGCTGCGAGGACCCGCCATGGATTGGTGGCGCGTCATCGTCACGAAGCCGATGGACTACGCGACTCTACCGACACGGGAAGGACAAACTGGACCCTGGGCGCCGTCGTATTTCGTGGAGGTGCCCCAGTATCGCACGTGGGACACGTGGTGCGCAGGTCTGCGCGCTCGTTTCGAGCCAATCGCGGCTTCGATCGCGGCGCGACAGAAGCTCCGCACTTGGCGCCAACTCGGTTCCGTCAAAGACTACACGAGCGGATTTCTGGCGCTATGCGAGCAGGTGGGATACATGCACGAGAGCGAGCGCATCGACCGCTACATCGGCGGCCTGAAGCAGGACATCGCTCAGGAAATCCAGCTTCGCGGCGTCACCGACTTTCAAGAAATTCTCGCTATGGCGGAGAAACTTGACTTCTTCCGCCGACCGAGACCGGGGTCCTACGGAAGCAGCCATTGGGGACATCAGTCTCGTGGGACGAACGAGGGCGCTACGATACGTGCCGTCACCGCAAATGCCGCTGCCGCATCGTTCAAAGGGCGCTGCTTTGCGTGCAATCGGCCGGGACACCGCAAGAGCGAATGCCCAGAAAACGCTAAGGGAAAGGGGGAAGCTGAGCAGCAGAAACAGACCAAGCAGCAGGGAAACGCTGGAAGTCAGTAGCAGACGGGCCCTCTACTGACAGGTCACGCCGCTCGCCCGACCCAACCGACCCTCACCGAGTGATTGTGCCGGTTCACGCAATCGACCACACTCGGCCGAATAAGGAGGGTACCGCGGTAGACAGCCCCATACTGCTTAGTGGGAAAATTGGGACAGACTTAGTTAAAATCTTCGTAGACGGGGGTGTCAGAATGAGAGAAGTGGTTGGACTAGCAAGATTGGGACTACAAGTAGGAAAACCCTAGAATGTTGTACCCCCTAAGGCTAAACCCACTGTAGCCTACAGAACAGTAACATATACAATGTTTGACACACCCCCATAGGCTAACTGGGGGAGAACAAGGGGTCACAAGACCAGTCAAGAAAGACAAAGCAAGCTCAGGGTGGATCACAACGTCACCACACACTCTGAGCACAAGCAAGAGGCCACAAGGCCAGTTCACATGCAGAGGCATATATGTAACACAAGCATCACAGTGATCTATACCTAACAAAGCAAGCATGCAGGTATATATATACAGATCACAATACAGGCAAAGTCTACAACAAGTGAGGAAAAGTGGGCACAAGCCCTAGCAAAGTGCAGAAACGCTGATGATCACCAGACTGAAGTGCCTTGGTGAATATATCAGCAGTGTTGGCCTGAGTGGCCACGTAACGCAGACGAAGCTGACCACGCTGTTGCAACTCTCGAGCCAGGAAGTAACGTAGAGCGATGTGCTTCGTTCTGTGCTCCAGTCTGTGCTCCTCACACAAGGCAATGGCAGCCTTGTTGTCGACGTACAGCACTGGAGGAGAACGAGGCGGCTCTCCCAGGTCGGTCAGCAGGTAGGTGAGCCAGCGTAACTCCTGTGCAGCCATGGCTGTGGCGTAGATCTCAGCCTCACAACTGGAGCTGAGAACTGAAGACGAACGCGTAGAACGCCACGAAACTGAGCCAGAGCCAAGGCTAAAGGTGTAACCCTGTGACGACCGCTGAGTAGCCTGGTCGTCAACCCAAGAAGCGTCTGAGTGCCCAGTGAGAACAACTGAGCTCCTCCCTCCAAGCACGAGCCCCATGCCCGATGTACTGCACAAGTAGCGCAATACCCTCTTTGCAGCATCCCAGTGCACCTTTCGGTGCCTACTAGGAGCCACGTAGCGGGCCAGAAGGCCAAGAGGGTACGCTAGGTCAGGACAAGTGCAAGTCATCAGGTACATGAGGCAGCCAACTAGCTCTGGGTAAGGACCACTCGGCTCTACGGACTCATCCGAAGGCAGAGCTGAGAGCGAGTGACCTGTAGCCGAGGAGTGGCCTGTGCCGAGGACCAGGTGAAGCCGAAGCGCTGAAGGACCTGCTGCACCATGTGTGACTGAGTCAGTGTGATGGTGTGGCGTGCTCTATCCCGGGTGATCTGCAAGCCAAGGTAGCTGCGCAGTTCACCCAGGTCTGTGCACGTGTGTCTCTTCTGCAGCTCCGACTTCACGTGGGCGAGAGCCTCAGTGTCAGCAGTGGCAAAGACCAAGTCGTCGACGTACACGAGGATGTAGAACGGTGTCAGCGACGTGTCGGTGCGCAGAAACAGCGACGGGTCAGCAGTAGAGGGCGCGAACCCAAGAGCCGCAAGAGTAGTCCTCAGTGTGTCGTGCCACTCACGTGGCGCCTGGCGCAGACCGTAGACCGGCCGCCGGAGGCTCCACTGGGTACCAGGAGGAAACGACTCAGTGAAGCCAGGAGGGCGGCGCAGCCAGATCTCCTCGTGCAGGCTGCCCTGCAAGAAAGCTGTGCTGAAGTCAAGAGAGTGAAGCTCGTAGTCACGCTGAGCGGCAACGTGCAGTAGCACCCGACGAGTGGTCATCTTCGGGGTGGGGGAGAAGGTCTGGAAGAGGTCTAGTCCCTCTCGCTGACTGAAGTCTCGAGCAACGTAACG